GACACTTTAAATTGAGCGAAACGAATGCAAACATGGTGTCCTTGTGACAGGGACGTGGATATTTCGGCCCTCGGAGGGGGTACTGCTAATTAAATGACGAATTTCCTCGCTGTTCTGGCCTCTAAATGCATTTGTCATTAGGTGAGCGGACCGAGAATCGCTCCTAGAGAGCGTGTCTAATTGATTTTCGGTCGTCAGTTCCTTCGCCAGCGGGAGGGAGGAGGCAGGAGATCCTGGCTGGATGCGAACCCGACCAGGTAGTGAGCTGAGGTAATCAGCTCAGCACATCGCAGGTTTCCTCCGCCGCCTCCCCCGCTGGCTCTTCCTCGTCTTCTGGCCATTGTTCTGCCAACAGTCAAATTCCGAGAAGCCAAAACACACAGTTTATCCGCAAAATAAAAAGTGATTTCGTCTCCCGCTCCGAAGTATCTGTATCTGTATCCGCATCTGAGACTGTTTGGTGTGTATTTTTGTGAAAACCGTTGAACCCGCAATAAAGTCATCAATCATTGACATTTGCCAGTGCTTTGGCTTGGCTGAATTTTGTGTTTTGAAAAATTGTTCCATTGGCGCCGAGCTTGTGCAGTGCGAATTATTTGGTAGTGTGTTTCTTAATTTAGCAAAGTACCTGTTATATCTCATTTTAAAAATGTATATAAAGTGTTAGGTACTTTGCAAGCCTGTAAAATATTCTACCATCCAATTTACAACGCATTCCCACTCTAGTTGGCCCCGTCGAAGCTTTATGAAAGCGTAAATAATTGCATAATTCACTTCATCGTCCAAGGACCGAACAAGTCCATAAAAGACTCATTAAAAAAACACTTGCACTCAATTAAATCGAGTCGAGTCGGAGTTAAAGGGGATCCCGGCAGGAGGGGGCTAATCAAACAAGGGTCGCAGCCACCAGGACAATGTTGAATGCTAAACTTTGCCCCCAGCATAATTGCACAACAACAAGGCGCTCGGAAAAGCGAGTGGTTGCACTTGGGCGATGGGAAAGCAGAGGTGGGTGGGTGAGGAGGGGTCGGCAGCAGCTTAATGAGCTTGAAGAGACCGGATCGGGGGAGTGCGAATAAAAACTAACCACAAAGTTGTTGAATGCTCTTGCGGCAGTCGGATCCTGTGGCCCGTTGTAGGTGTTAATGAATAAAGTTGTTTGTGGTCCGGCCGAGAGGAGCGCAGTGGAAAAGAGTCGTGTAAAAAGATGGCTATGTGTGCAAACCGCACAGCGTGATAAACGCCATCTATCCAGACACCCAGACTCACAGACTCGCAGGCAGGTCAACTGAGCCCCGAACAACAAAAAACAACAGCCGCAGAGCAGACAAACCTTGATTGTTCGTTGGGTTTTTGTAGAGCCGAGGGGTGGAGTCTGGAGGCGGGAGGGCGGGAAAGTGGGAGGGGCAGTGGCATGGGATGGACAGGAGGCTGGACAAAATTGCAGACGGTGACCGTGGTGACAAGTGCAAAAGTTAACACAACGACTCCACTGGCTGGAACGGTGGGAGTGGAACGAAAATGGAGGAGTGGATTTATGGGTTCGGGTTTTAGAGATCCATCTTGACAGTGATAACATTACAAAGTTAAAGATAGGTGAAAATAAACATATTGTGGTTGTTTTTAAAGAAGGATGCCACAGTTCATTTCAATTTCTCATTTCTTCACCCTTGAGATTACAGACTTTAAGTTATTTTCATTCAACTGTGCAGCTATTTCGTAACCCACTGACTAAATCCCGATATTCCACATTCCCATCCCACACTCAAATCTTAAAGCTCATTGTTTGCCGTGGTATATTGACCCCTCCGATCAGTTATCGCTGTTTTAATGGCACCACTTAGGGCAGATCTGTATCGCCTGGATCCGTAAACACATACTTGACTGCCCTGCTCCGTTTTACCCACCCACTTGTCAAATTTCGACCCACTCCCCATCGGCGAGGAGTGGAAACCAGATCATAAATAACCTTTGCATAATCTAAATCAAGAGCTTAATGTAGCATGGCGAGTAACCAGAACAGAACTGAAACGGCAACAGAAACCATCGCAATCGCAAATAAAATAAGGCTAGAGGAGCGGAATGTGTGCGAAGCATCCATCCAGTAATCCGCCGAGTGTTACTGTTACCCCAATTTCGGGGTTTCGATGGCTTTTTTGAGAGGACCAAGCACGGAGTGCCAAAGAACCATTTCCGAGCGATTACAAACGGAAGTTTTGACACGTGTCAACACATGTGTGTGTTTGTTTTCCTTGCCGTTGCCATTGGTGTGGTGTCAATGCAATAAAAACAAACACCAGCGCCAAGGGACATTTAACCCAGCCAGCGATGCTGATTGAATTTTTGATTTATGCAGTGAGGGATGGGGGTACGTACTTCGAGTGCCCGAGTCCCACGGAAAGTTAAAGGTTAAAGGCCCCGATCCCGATGCCTAATGAAGTTGTGCGTCGGCCACTTGAAAGCCAGTCAATATGTTGGCTATCTCCGGCAATTTGTAGCCCAGGCCAACCAATCATGGGCCTACACAAATCAGGGGCCCCAAAACGCACTTTCTGCTGCATCACGGCCTCTCGGAGAAAAGGAACTATGAAATTAGTCAAAAATATCATCATATTGAACACACAGTAACCCCGAGATCATTATAATGCCACATGATTGTTCCAAAACCGAATACAATATGGCGGCGTCTCGAAAATCAAATCGAAACATTTTAATTACCTTTCGATGAGTGTGCAAAAGAAAATACTGTTTGTCCGAAAAGATTTACAGAAATAGCTTTTTTGTGCAGCTAATTTTGTGATTTATGGATCTGTGAGAGCGTTTTATTCCGACTCTAGCGGGGGTAACTATAAAATGTGTCTATTACGAAGCGCCCGACGTCATATTTTAATTCAATTTATAAAGTATAAAGCCAAATAATCCCCAGAAAAACTTGTTAAGGCCCACGCACAAAACAGCGCCCATAAAGAGGCAACAGAAATGTGCAAAATTGAACCAAAAAAATGGGGAAAAAATGCCGGGCATTATGAAAAACCATTTTCTGGATATTCCAGAATGTTGTTGTGCTGCTGCTGCTCCACTCCAATTCCCGATTTAATAAACGAAGGACACTGCCAAACGGGGACAATGTTGGGAGCCCGGGACCATAGAATTTCCATTACGCCTCCACTCATTGTTCTTCGCTGGAAGGTTTTAAATCGAGTGGTGCAATTTTAAAACAATTATGCTGAATTCTGTGCCGCTGGCTGGCAACTTTGTTCTGTGTTTTCGCATTTTATGCCTGTTTTCCCTGGCTTCCCTCTGGTTAATTGATTTTAATGGCTGTGTTTCGCCGCTTCTAATGAGCCCTACATGCTCAGCCATAAATTTCAATGGAACAAGTTCAACAGCCACTGGAATCAAAGTCATTAATTTGCGTTAAGCTCGCTTTCTGGCTCTAAAGTTCAGCTTCTCATAGATCACGACCATTCCACATAAATTGTAGTTTTAAATCTCAGACAAAGCAATACCGAAATGCAGACGTTTATTTCTGATTAATTTTTGACAGAAGTGTTGATGTTAAGCTGAGCCTGGACTTTGATTTATTCTCAAAAGACAATGGAAAGAGAAATGCTGCATTTTGGCATGATTAATAGAGGGTATAAAAGGCAGCAGATTAATTAAGTCAGAAATGGGAAAAGTAATAAAGTTAATAAATCGATTTTATCATAACAATCAAAGTTGAAAAATAATGAAACATCAGCTTACAGCATTTTCAAGCCGCATTTCAAGTATTAGCAATCCGAAAGATAAAGTCAAGAGATGCTCACAGGCTTATGGAAATACTAAGCGCAAAAGTCGAAGTCAACCCAAAGTCGCAGGAATAATCTTCGCTGTGAGGACAACAACATTGAGGAGGATTTTCAGGGCTAGGGAAGGGCTTAAGAAGCAGGTTTTACAGGTGTCATAAAAGAGGGCCCGAGTGGCCAGTGGCGGGTTAAGCCAGGTAGTGGGCGTTGCACCGACTTTTGCCGACGGCAACACGCCCACTCGACAACGTCCGGGATTTGCCCGGTTGAGGGCAAGGGTTAAACCCTGGCAAGGTGAACTGATGTTTGGCCACGGAAATATCTAGGATTTCATCTCCAAGACATGATTTTGTAAAGTATTATTTCCAGAAGGCAAATTAAGAAAAATTGCAAGGTTCTTCAGAAGTAAATGAACTATATGATAAGTTATTTGTATGTAAAGTTATACGATAATCAGTTACGTATTTAAATTATTTATTAAAGCTATCTTGTGATTACGAACTCAAAAATATTTAAGTTTAGGGATTTACTACGATAATTCTTGTGAGCTTAAGTTGTTTCAACTTATCTTACATTTCACAACATTGATTATTAGTATTTCTGTCATGGAAAAAGTATTTTCCAAACAATGTCTATGCGTGAGAAATGAAAAAAATATATATTTCAATACTATCCAATAACATTTAAGTTCTAATTGCTACGTAATTGTGGAGCCTTTACAAATTTTATTGACTCCAACTTTTATTTATTGACTACCCCCATGAAAATTTAGACTTTTATCATTTCACAATATTGATTATTAGTATTTCTGTCATGGTAAAAGTATTTTCCAAACAATGTCTATGCGTGAGAAATTAAAAAAATATATATGTTAATACTATCCAATAACATTTAAGATCATATTGTTATGTAATTGTGGAGCTTTTAAACATTTTATTGACTCAAACTTTTATATATTGACTACCCCCATGAAAATTGGGACCTTAAATCGCTTTCACTAATAGAGACTTTAAGTTAGAGAGGTTTGAGGAAGGTAACTTGCTTGGTTGTTGCCCAAGTAAATCCGGAGTCACCATTTAGGGTTCGAAAAAAGCTGTGATTTGTCTCAACTCCACATATACTCCAAAATAGTAAAGATTACATCATATACCCTGACTCCTATCGTACCCCCCTTGGTATCAGTGGAGAGCGGGGCCGAACCGCCGAACTTACCCGTATGCGTGCGCTTGTGGATCTTTAGGTTCTCGCTCCGGGCGAAGACCTTGCCGCAGCCGGGATGCGGGCAGGCGAAGGGCTTCTCGCCGGTGTGGACGCGGATGTGGTTGACCAGCTTGTACTTGGCCTTGAAGGGCCGGCCGTTGCGGGAGCAGCCCACCCAGAAGCAGGCGTGCGTGGTGCACTCCGGGCCGCCCACGTGCTCCACGGTCAGGTGGGTCACGATCTCGTGCATCGAGTGGAAGACCTTGTTGCAGGTCTTCCTGCCGCCGGGCGGCACCAGGCCGGGCTGGTCGGGGTCGATCCAGAGGCACTGCATCTCCTGCTTGACGCTGGAGGCGGACGAGGCCGGCTGGTGGCGCATGTAGCGCAGGAAGGCGCCTGCCCCGGCCGGGTGCATGGCGGACATGGCGTGGTGGGACGGGTGGTGCACCACCGGGTGGTGCACGGCCGCCGCCGGGAAGTTGCCGTGGTGGTTGTACGGGTGCCCGGCGGCGTAGGCGTCCATCCGCATCTGGTGGTGGTGGTGGTGGTGGCTGTGGAAGGGGTGCTGTCCGAACCCGGAGCCCAGCTCGGCGGCCTGGGCCGGGAAGCCGGAGAAGAGCATGGAGTCCGCCGCCGAGGAGGCCTGTCCGGCGGAGCCGGCGACCCCGTAGTCGGCCTCCCTCCTGCCCAGCAGGAAGTCCCTGGAGGCGTAGCCGTTGAAGTGCCCGTACCCGGAGTTCTGGTACGCTGCCGCCGTGGCCGCCGCCGAGTCCTGCTCCTGCAGCTGCTGCTGCTGCTGCTGTTGCTGCTGCTGTTGCTGTTGCTGCTGCTGCTGGCTCATCTCGAGCTGCTGCTGCTGCTGCTGTTGCTGCTGCGGGTTGCTGTTGCTGTTGCTGGCGGTGGTGTTGGGCGACATTCGCAGCCCGTAGCTGGCCAGGTGGTGCTGGGCCGGCTCGATGAAGGCGTTCATCATCATGGCTAGAGAGTTTTGGGTCTGTTTTTAACTGGTTAGCTGTTAGCTGTTCGCTTTTGTATCTGTAAGTTTTCTGTTGCACTTTTAGGCCGGCGAGCCCATCACCGCACTGAGTCACGTCACTAAACTGTATGTATACTGTGGGCTCGTTTGCTTCGACACTATTCGATTCGTACTCAGATTGAGATATTTATGTAATGCACTCGCGCGCGTTGCGTTTCTGGGGCGTTCGAATCGCAGCAAGACTTGACGCTAGCCGAATGCCAAGACTTGACGTTTCAAGATGCGCAGCAGGACTGAAATGCTCCTGGAATTCGAACTCGCTGCTCGTCGCCGCGCGAGCGTTTATGCCGGCGATCGCGTGCGTGCGAGCGAGAGGAGCGCTGCAAAATGGCAATCGCGGATAGAAAGCGGGAGGGTGCGAGCAGGACGAACGTACTGCTGCGCCGAGGTGAGTTGCGCTGGCCGTGGTGGGTTTCGCCGCGCCACCACTCAGCCGGATAGGCCTGGGCCGTGGGTGCGAGCGGGACAGCGGCAAGAAAATGGCTGCGCCTCCGCTTGGACGGCCGGCGGTTAGAGGAGCACAGACGCTGCGCCAGGCGCACCCAGTCCAATTGGAACCGGCTGGGCATACAGCCCTCTCGCTCTGCAAACTGGTTCCGCGGAAATTAACACCCACTGCGGTTGGCCGGTGGGTGGTGGGCCAACAGGGCGCAGCGTGCGCCTGTGCAGGGGGCCCGACTGCTGATTGGACCGCGGGCAGCCAATTGAAAGCTCGCGGGATGCATTTCCCAGCCCGCTTTTCACTGTCACTGCGCCGAACGCCCTCCACTTCGGCGGCCACTCGCCCCAGCTGTCAGCTTATCAAATTAGTTGTTTATTTTATTGATTTTAATGATGCTAAGCACATTCCGCGCTCGGACATCGCCGATCCACATCTCCATTTTCGTTTCCATTTGTTTGGGTTGCGCAACGAAGACGTACGGGCTATCATCAGCCCCGAACGCTCTGTTTTTCATTCGCTAATTTATGGAATTTTCAATAAGCAGCTATCGAAACAATACATAATCTCGTATCACTCGGCTTGATTGGATTCCGTTGGGTGCTAAGTGCCCCTGTAAATTTGATTTTGGTCAGATCGTGAAGGGGCATTCGGACTGCGGGGTGATTAAGTTAATCGAATTTATTTTTAGACAAAACATTTGTTTAGCACGGCACGGCTTGTCCTTGCGGTGGTACTCAATGGGTATTTTATAATTTATTCTTACTATATGTATGGAAAAAATTAATTGAATGGCTACGAAATATTTCGTAGTTCGTTTATCTGTATATTTTACGTTTTGGAAGGGTTTGTATTAGTACTGAGAATCATGGTTTAAAATGTAGCTTAGAGCTTATATCAAATGCGGATCCAGAATTTGGCTGCAGAGGGATAATAAATTTGTTGAGTATAAATTAAACATATGGAATAAAGTACATATTACATATACTTTTTATCTGGGGGAAGCTAACCCCATATTCCCCCGTGAATCCATGACTTATATACTATCTAACCTATGATCCATACTATTGATAACCAATTTGATCATTTAAAAAAAATATTTTCAATTTTTCCTTTTACTTGCTAGTTAACGGTTATAATTAAAACGCTTTACCTTTCAACATAGTTTAAGAAAACCCTTTTCTGTTACTTATAAATAATTATAAAAAATAATCATAAACTATTAAATATAATTATAAATCCTATAGGATTGAACTAAATTAGACTTTTTGGCACGTTCCTGACAATCCTAATTGTTAACATAGTTATTGTTAGTCAGGTCCACGAAAATAGATCTCTTGTTCAGAAATCACTCTTAGCGAACTCTGTATTTTTTCACATATCTACATTATTCCAACAGTTAGCTTCGTTGTTAAATGGCTTGATGTTGGTTTAATTGAGGCTAATTTTGCAGGTAATTAAAACATCGGGGCAAATTGTGACATCAAGCGTCACCGCCAAACGGTTTGGCTATTAAATTGTCAAAACAACTCCGCGGCATCGGCAATCGTCCGAATGTCAGGCCGACCCCAATGCCATATTGGGACCCGGGCACGACCATCTAAAACTGCCCCAATCGGGAAGGCCCAATCCCGCGGAGCAGCGACGACAACTGTCACTCGGAATGAAGCCATTGCTCCACTTTGGTCGGCAAGGAGTCGCCGGGGAGCAGATGCCGCTGGAAATGGAGACGTTGACTGAAGGGGGTTTCTAGCGCACTGCCTCCGAACCACTCCCATAAATAATGCATTTCGAGCCACTTGAAAATGGAAGCGCAGTGCAATAAACTTGGTAATAACAGAAAGCTCAACTAGGTAGCGAGAGGAACAACAATCAGAAGTCTCAGCGAACAGCAAATTATAAATGTAAAATCCATGGATAAACAATATGGCAAGTTGGCTCAGCAGGTCGCTGCTTCTTGAGGTCTGTAAAACGAGTTAGCCTATCACATAAACATTTTAAGAGGAGTGTGCTATTTTGGTATGATCGATCATCGATAGTTTTACTAGCCCAAAAAGGTCCATTAAATTTAGGAACGAGGATCTACAAACCGCATGTTATAATATTAACTTTGGTCTTTTCAAGTTTTAATGCGATTCAATATTCGAGCTTTAGATAAACCAGAATAAGCCTTGAAAGTTATAGTAGAAAATATGGACCGCTTGTACACAGGGAGAAATATTCAAGTACATTGTTCTTTAATTGAGAACATGCATTCTTAAAAACCGTATAAGTACATTTTGGTATCAAAGTTCTCTATATTAGAACGAAATGGTGAGAAGAGAAAAGTTAAACTGAGTTTATTTAACAACTTTTTGATAAGTAAACACTACTGACTGGACTAATCGATTATTTCTTGAGATATACAATGGAAATACTGTCAATTCAACTTGATTTGAGCAAAATAAAAACATTTTCGATTTCATAAATGTCGTTCTGTTTTTAAGAACATTTTCAACTCAGATAAGAACGTCAGAATTTTCTCTGTGTACCTTTGTTTTGCCTTTTCGCTTTAGATTTTTTTTTTCTGATTATTTGTTCATATAGATTAAAAAACAAGACCAATCCAACACATTTTCTTGACTTGCAACACAGATATAAAAAATAAGTTTTCCCATTAACAATCGCAATAATATTCATATCTTGGTGTTTATTTCACCCCCAAATCCGCGGACTTAACCCTCGGCGGTGCTTAATCAGTTTGGCCACAACAAAGTGGGCAACCAGTGGGCGTTGGCCTGGGGAAATGGCCTCGTGTCATGAGTGCGACCCGGAGTCGGATTCGAAATCAAAATAAACCCGTAACCTGGCGTGGACGCCTTTGGCACATGCCGCGATCACAGCGGTGAGCACTGTACTGGTCTTTTCGCCTGGGGTTCGCTTGAGACTCGAGTCTCGAGACCCGGGATTCCAGAGCCGAGGTTCGAGGCACGAGATTCCAGATTCGGGTTCGAGTGTTCCGTGCCGGCCCAAGTGAATGCCCAGGGAGCCAGAAGTCTCGCAGAGAAAGAGTGTCAAAGGAGTGAAGTGGGAGCGTGGGAGTTTTCCGTCCAACTGGTTTGCCTGGCATTTTCCTTTCCATTCAACTGGGTGTTGATGAATGTGCTGGCTTCGGTAGAACGAAAGTCAACTAATGAGCAAAAATATTTACAAAATGGAAAAAAAATTAATGGGTAATGATGGTTTGTAAGCCAAACAAATTAATTCAAATTTGGGTTTTTACAACTTTCCAGAAAATAATAATTTACAATTCTTGAAGTTTTAAAGAAATTTATTAATTGTAAGGTGCAACATATTTCGATGCAGCTATCAACTACTATTTATTCAGATAGTGATATATTACAATTTTTTTCAGGGAACAAGTGACTTTCCCACTTTTTTAAGAGTGGCTCCTTATGTGTAAATGAAAAATATTTATTAAGAACAACATTTCTTTTAGAACAAAATTCATTCCACTTGTAAGTTTTTATAAAACAAAATTATCTTAGGGGTGTACTTTCTAATTTATTAAAAAATTACGATTACCATTACCACTCGAAAATTGCAAAATTCATTGCGAATTCTTTTTGAGTTTACTATGTCGTTAGTACGAGCGGATCATATGGAGGATAGGACACTCAAAGCCTCAAAAATCAACTTAAAGATGTGTTCGGCAAGCCGAATTGTGTATACCCTTGCAGTTATAGTTATTATATTTAATTCGAAATTCTCAAGAATACAAAAAATTATATTCCCAACAGTATAAGATCATATGTCAAAAAACACCAAAGCTATAATTTGTTTCATATTACTTTCCCACCAATTTTTCGATCTTTCCTATGGAAGTCGTCCGGTTTTGATAAAATTAAATTCAAAATGCAGAACTGATTAAAAAATGTTATTTCCAAGCGTAGGAGGTTATATGATCAAAAACACCAAAGATATAATTAAAAAACAATTTTTTTTCTACTATTTCCATGGGACCTATAAGATATCGGTATCGGATCCGGCTGGTTCCGACTTATTTACTACCTGCAAAAAAAGAAGACTTTTGGGAAAGTTTTAGCCCGATAGCTTTAAAACTGACAGACTAGTTTGCGTAGAAACGGACGGACAGACGGACATGGCTAGATCGACTCGTATAGTCATGCTGATCAAGAATATATATATTTTATGGGGTCGGAAAAATCATAATACCCTCTGCAAGGGTATAGAAATGTGAACCCTAAAAAGACATTCCTATTAGATAGTCCACACTTCCCAAAGTTCTGTTTTTAAGGTTAAGGTTTAAGAGCATAGTATGACCAGTACTATCAAAATTTGGCATGCTGAAATAACCAACAGATGTAGTTTAAAAGAGAGAAACGATTTTTCAAACATTTTTGATTTTGTGTTTTAGTGTGTGTTTTAGTAAAGGCTTTTTGGATTAAAGGTAAAAACATATTTCTTACAACAACATCACGTTCAATTATCAATTAATTTAAGTTCGCATTCCCCCAAATTCAATTAAATTAAATTAATTTAATTTCCCATTATTTCCAGCAGGTGGCAAGCACACTTCCCCGCAACCTCAACCAC